TTTCCCCCTCGCCGGAAACGTTTTCTTCTATCGAGTCACGAAATATTACGTTCTCGCGAGGCTTTTGCTTTCTCGAGAGAAAGAGAGAGAAGGGGATCGACTTCGCTCGTTGAGGTAATCGTGAGGAAAGTTGGTAGAACGGGCGTATCTTGCCGTAGTTAGGCTGACGGCAGAGAACAATCCGTAAACGCTCAAGACTGTCTCAGTCGTAGACGTAGGGCAAGGCAGAGAGAAACGTAAGTCGTGTACAAAAGCCTTTCACGACTTACGTTTCTCTCTGCCTTGCCCTACGTCTACGACTGAGACAGTCTTGAGCGTTTACGGATTGTTCTCTGCCATCAGCCTTAAGTTTATTCTACACTGGACGCAAGACGCTAAAGGCCGCGACGCAAGAAATCGGCCGATAGCAGTCCGATCATTCTTCTCATATTTGACTGTGACTTTCTCGCGTTGCGGCTTAGCGTTTTGCGTCCATTGTAGAATAAGTTGAAGGGAAATAATGCCGAGCGCTGACGGCGACCGACTCTAATGCCCGTTTCTACCCAATGCAGTTTAACTTTGATCTCGGTTCAACTTAATTCGTATCTTTTTCTAGTTCCACGAATTAGAAAACGATCAGAAGTGATTGAAACCTGGATCAAAGTTAATCGGTAGAAACGGGCATTAGTCGCGCACTCTCGCAGCGACACTTTGCTTACGGCGATTAAGTTACAATGATACGTTGCGATGCACGCTGTAATCATAATTCCATTGATACTTCGAAATCTGATATCTAGGCCGATATAGCCCGGCATACATTACATTTTCCGGTAGGAAAGCGATGATTATTTAATGAGCAACGATTGAATATATTGGGCGAAATGTAGGGAATTATTATTAATGCATTACAATTACGAAATGAATGAATGTTAATGCTAATAAGTTAATGTGAAAATTGATAATTTAGCGCGATACGTTAGCTTTTTACTAATCATTTTTTTCAATCGTCTTTACGAAGAACTTTTTGCAAACTTCGAGATTTAACTTAATTATTATTAAATAACGCACACTTCTAAGTGTAATATTTGATAAAGTGCAATACGTTGAATTTTATGTGTTTGCGAATATTGGTCAGTATTTGTTTTTGAATAACTTTGCAAATGCATTACGTATGATGTTTCAAAATATAGGTACATATATTATACCGATATTATAATAAATTAATTACAGTATACATTAATATATTAATTCTTTGTATATTTTTCGCTGAAGTGCACACACTTTTCTATAGAATATAAAAACAAATTACAATCCAGTTACATTACTGTCATATAATGGTATATAAATACAAAAATGTAAAGACTGGCGAGAAATAGATAACAAAATTAATGTTGCAGACTATTACAGTCATTAAACTAGAAGCAAATATGAAATTCACAGATATACATATTATTAAATTAAATATAATTTTGTTATAAAAATCTTCCGCTTGCACGCGTGTAATTAATATTAAATTAAAATCGCGAAAGTGAGGAGAATTAAAACTGAGAAGAGCAGTATCGGAGGATCCGGTTCGAGTCTTATAAAATTCGTTGTAAAGTCTTCGGTTATATTCTTTATTTCATTTATAATCGTTTAATTCGGTAATATATTTTTATTGCGATAATGCAGAGTGGTTAAAGTATTTCTCCAGTTTGTAAAGTAATTAGTTTTTAAAAAAGTGGAATGGATTTAGAAATCGAGATAAAATATTTGCCTACTATTCCAGCATAGAAGTATTTCATTTATTTAATAAATTCGTGTTACGATGCCGTATCGATATCTTGTTAGATTAATAATTTTAATCGATACGATGTCTATTGTTTCAGATGCAGAGATGTAGACGCACTTTCTACGAATCTGGCGGCTGCAGCACCAGAGGATCTGGTTCGGGCAAAGCAGGATCGGCTCGAAGGTAGATTTCACTTTTATCTTAACACATTTCGCGCTTAAAATTTAACAATTTTAAAATATACATCTTTTATGGAAGTATTCTCAATAATTATATAAATTTTTAATCTATACTATTATTAAATATTGTATAGTTCGTTATAAATAATATTTAATATACCAAATATATTTAAAAATATATTTCGTATAATATGAAAACTTTTGCAAATATGCACAAGATAGACTTTGAGTATTATAAAAGAAAACGTACTTATTTGTTCATTGTAAATTAATTAGCGATATTGTATTTTCATTAAAGATTCGAATGCGAGACGTGGCCGATCCTGAGCAGTTGTAATTGGTGAGTAGCCTTTAGGGTACAGGTGATGGTCTTTTCCGCCGAAATCGATGTTTCTGAAATCAGTGCCATTCATTTCGCGTATAGATTTTTGCACGATATGTAGTTTTACCTAAGAATCGAATGAAAAGAAAATATAGGGAAATGGAAAACTTATAAAAGTAAATTCTCAAATATTGCAAGTGTAATTTTTTATTCTAATTTTTTGGTGTAATTACACCAACAGATTGCACCATTACTTTATACTTTTTTATTTACATAAATATTTACATAAATTGGATTTATTAGTCGATATTGATTTTTATCGAATTAGATTTGAATTGGATAAGAATATCGCGAAAACGTTGAAAGATTTTTTGCTTTTCATTACGATTCTTAGATTTGGATTTTTTGTACATATTTCAATGCTATGGTTGTCGTTAAATAATATTCGCGAGGAAATTACCAAATTAAGCCTCGTAAGGATATCGCGAAGTGACGTTTTTAATAAATTCTCAAATTAAATCGCGAATCTCGCGTCGCAAAAGTGTCGCATCGTTCAGAAAGTGACGTGAAGGACATATACAACTCTCTAACTTTTGATCTTGTTATAATTTACAAATTCAATTTTATCGATAAATGCTTATTAATTACAAAATTCGAAAATTTGCGAAATATTAAGTTCATTAAAATTATTATCTCGTGGTGAATTTCGTGTCGCGATTGCTATATTACGCGAAGTGAAGTGAAGTGCGAGCAACGTGGGACAACGCAGGATGCTCCTAAATCACTTCCGGAGGCTGCAGATGTAATTGCAGCGGAAAACACATCGATGGACAACGATGGACATCGCGAATTGATGAGTGTTGAATTTTTATACGTAATCTGTTTCCTTCAGCTACATCTTTTCCGCAGTTTATTGCACTCGTGTATTATGATTAATTATGAAATTAATATTACTTATTCTCAGTTTCGAGATAAAAGTATTTAATTATATTTTTTACGATCTCTTATTACAAGAATAAAAATACAACATAATGTGATAGAACACAAAATCCACAGTTCTACAGAATATCAAAATTTAATTTCTCTGGCAATAATATTCGTACATATAGAGTCTTCTACTATGAGATAGGTTTCTAATATGAGATAGCAGGTTTTCAACATCCAAATTCAATCACGCGTTCACACGTTAGATTACAATTTTATTGGACTACCAACATCTTGCTCGGACCTGAAGGCGTTCTCGCTTGTTTGACTTATATCGTAATGGTCCTGTTTAACTTTATTTGTCAATGATTACACAATCTAGCAATGAATTTTCCACTAAACAGATTTTGCTCCAATAAATTCATGATGGAATCAACTGCATGGGGAGAATTTTTTCTTAAAATTTATCCGGAAAATTATGTGATCGTGGGACAACGTGGCGTTTTGTAGAACTTTATGAAAGTTTTTTGAAACTTTACCATACATTTTAATAGTAAAATGTATACTAAGCATAATTACTAGTAAAATGTATGGTAAAATTTTAAAACACTCATAAAATTTGTCAAACTACCACGTCCCACGATTACATGATTTTCAAGGTAAGAGAAAATTCCAAGTAACGATGCCTATTAGTTTAATAGAAACCGCGCTATCCCATATTAGGATCCTATCTCACACTCTAGGGTGCTTTCCTCTATATTAATTTACTTATAACAAATCGATGTACCTGAAGGAAACAGCTTGTAACTGCATGCGTAATAATCGTAATACTTGCAACAATGGCACTGATTTCCAACGGTAGAAGTAAACACAATGATGCGCCGCGTAATCTCGGTGAGGCTCTACGAGCCTCATGAACGAATTACATGTACAGACTGTTTAACTTGGCGATGTCTCGCGTTTCAACCCCCGTTAGCGATCCAAGCCGCGGCGCAAAGCTTCCGCGGGCGCACGAACAGCCTAATGCTATGTAAAAATATCGCTTGCCTCTTACCTCCGGTGCGTATATTAATGCACGCCGAAGAAGAGCGAAACGGGCGAGCGTAGGCGCGGGAGAGGAGACATCGAACCACGAGCAGATGCTCCTGCCGGAATATCTAAATAAATCCAGCCCGCCCTTAAAATCCCAGAGTCGAATAAGTAATAACATCCACCGACTACACGGCTGTGTCCCATCCTTACTCTATCTCGCTCTCTCTCTATCTCGGTCCGTTTCTCGCGTTCTCTTTCTCTCTCTCTCATCCCTGCCTTGCCCGTTTTGCCTGCATAAGCGAGCACGTCCGATTTCGAGACTTTAATTGGCCGGAGGGAATTCCGCCGCGTGGCCTTACTTTACGAGGAAACTTTCGAGATATTTTGAGCCGAGCCGGGTCGGGGGGGCAGAAGGGAACACGCTGCATACACTCTTTTTCCGGTTAGATGGGAGAGTAAGTCGGCGAGATTGAGTCGGCGTGGCGGCCGCGGGTTTGAAAGATTTGGCTTTTATCGCGCGGATACATATGAAACGTCTGCATTTTATGAAAATCTTTGAGACAACATATACACCTGTGCGTGGTGTACTATTTCGTTCCCTCTTATTATTTTTTTTCTATCTCTTCGGTTTGAAATTGCGTTATGAATATACGTACTACTAGAAAATTATGCAAAATTATGGTATCTTGTTTTATTGCGACATCGGTTGATTTTCCAAAGTATTCTAAATGCAAATAAGTTAAGTATTACATAATCCAGCTAGGTAGAAGTGAACAATGCTGTCAAGCATCCGTCACGATAGAAATGCCCATTTTTCCTCTTTAACATTGTTACTTAAAAGAAACATCGGATTTACATCGCATGGTAACACCGGGTGTCTGTAATTGAGTTGTAACATTTACGTATCGAAATCCCTCAACTTTTGACGCCAATTTGCCGATCTAATTATCGGAGGGCAACGCCATTAACTGCACTGCAGCGATGGTGTTCGTGCAGGTGGATTAGCGCGGACAGTGGTACGTGTGCGCAAACACGCGACGACGCTGGGTTCATCCCGACGAGCTAGGACGATTTACGAGGTTTCACAGGCTTGTCTGGCGCATAGATAGGGCGAATGTGTCAATTACGATAATCGCGCATCGATGATTTATCCGATTTATCTGATGAAATTATTTAGACGCCCGTTGGCAATTATCGCGTCGCGATTTGACCTGAAAATGCAACGCGATACACCGCGATATCCTTTCTCCGCGTATTCACGCCAATTCACGGAATTGCTCGAGTTTCTTCGTCCATTTTCCATATCGCGCCGTATATTACATCGCATTGGCTATAAAAATGATTATTATTACCCGCACCGGGCAACTGAATTAAATCTCTCGTTGCCCATCGATCGAAGTACTCGTTTATTCTGCCAATTTTACGTTGGTTTCGTTAGCTTTCCGCGTGTTCCTTCGCGTGTACTTGGTCTCACCGGACATGAGATAATCC